GGGAGGGGGGTCGTAAAAAATTTTCGAAAAGTAACAACGATAGGGGGGACCCGAATCCCATGAGCGGAGAGATTCAACCAATTATTGTGTTTGGGACTAAGCCTGAGGGGAAGAGTTTCTCGTGGAGGATGTGAGCAATTTCTGTTCTCCCGAGCGTATTTCCCTTCTCATGAGCTTAGTTCTAGTGTCACCTTCCATTGGCCCTGTTTTGAAAGTTCTCCCCAAGGACAGGAGCGCCGCGATTAGCAAAGATATAGAGTTGACAATAAATAACATCTCACTAAATGACTCCATTTTTAGTGCTTCTTATTCATATTTATAATATGATAATAGTGACATTTCTATGAAGTTTCTCTCTTTCATCTCCTTTCGCTGTAATCTTCTCACTGACACCGCTGCATTTCACCGATCTCCGCGAGTGGGAAGTTTCTTTCAAAGCAGAACCTTGTGGATTCTATCCGCGATCTGCACACGTTCTGACGTGTTGAATTCCACTGCAGGAGCCCGCGAAGACTTGCCTCGTCCGGATCGCCGCGCAGCCCGCCGCGCGATTCGCCGCGTGCAACCCCGGACGCACCAAAAGTCCGTCGCCCGGGCGAGCGGTTGTTTCGATGGGGCGCCCGCAGCTGTGTCGATCCAGAAGAATGCGCCCCATTAGGCCGATGTCATAGTTTGCGAATCGAGCGATCGCTGATCCGAGCGTTGCGCCAGCGAATCGAACGTTGCACCAGCGAATCGAACTTTGTACCAGCGAGTCGAACTATGTACCAGCGACTCAATAGTGGCGGGACCCAACGTTCAAAGGAAGCCCGCCACTTTCAAACAGTGTCACGTGACAGTGGACCCTGTTTGAAAGTGGCGGGACTTGACAGTGGACACTGTTTGAAAGTGGCGGGCTTCCTTTGAACGTTGGGTCCCGCCACTATTGAGTCGCTGGTACCTAGTTCGACTCGCTGGTACATCGTTCGACTCGCTGGCGCAAAGTTCGATTCGCTGGTGCAACGTTCGATTCGCTGGCGCAACGCTCGGATCAGCGATTCGCTAGCGAATCGCTCGATTCGCAAACTATGACATCGGCCTTACAATTCGAGCGCCCCATCGAAACAACCGTTCGCCCAAAGAACTCGGGCCACGATCACCGCGGCCACGCCCAGTGGTTAGGTGTTGGCAGGGAGCTACCACCTTGCAAAAAAATAGGAAATCGAGAAATGAATCAAAACTTTCTTGCCTTAAAACTCTGCAGTACTGAGTTCATATAGCAGGTGTTGCCAAGATTTTTCAATCCATTCGGCAACTTGACAGAGTTTTCTTCATTTTCCGCAGCCTCCTTCCTTTCTTCTTCTAGTTTCGGTGGTGCGGGAACCGCATCAGCACTGTACAGAGGTATTTAAAAAAAACGAGGCGCAGCAATCTTCTTCACAATCTTACCTGCCCATCATCATTATTATCGCGCCTTCTGAGATTGTAATCCCGGTCCATGATTCGTCGCCCAAAGTTTTACCCTATAATAACCGATCAGAACACTTTCACCTTATCTTACAGTCAATATCTCGAAGTCAGATTAGGCGTGTCTATGCATCCAACGTGGCCGCCGCCGCCCTTGATAGAAGCCATGTGGATAGGCTGTTTTCAACATGGTTCGCTGGATGTCAGCGAAACATGATGGCGGGTGTGGTTCACTAGGACAGAAAGCGACTTTTTCGCGTTTCGCAGCGCGAAACATTTTTCGCTGCGGGAACCTCAGGTCCACGATGATCAGAGTGGACCTGAGGTTCCCGCAGCGAAAAATGTTTCGCGCTGCGAAACGCGAAAAAGTCGCTTTCTGTCCTAGTGAACCACATCTCATGCTGGAAGCAGATTGTCCGCGCAACTTTTATCAAACGCAGCGGCTGCCACGTCAAATCTATAATCTGTAGAAAGACCTAATCAGGCCGCGAGATATGGAGTATACATATAAACTTCTTTCCAAGATAAACCAAGTGAAAAGTATAAAAACTCGAGTTTTCATTTACAAGAAAATTTTGCAGTTTGTTGAAAAATTGAAAGTTAAAATGACAAAAGCACTCCCGCTGAGAACCTAAATACACGTCGACTGGAGCGATTGTGCACCAATTGCAGAAGCGACGGGAGATTTACACCGCCGACCACCGATACACACGGCGCCGCTCGGGTAAATCTCCCGTCGCTCGCACTTTGGAGCGACGGATCGCTCAAGCGATCCATCGCTCGGGCCGTGATGTGCCTCCTTGGCCGTTGTGGCAGGGAGCTGCGAGCGACGGGAGATTTACGAGCTGATGGCGCCGAATTATCGGTGGTCGGCCGTGTAAATCTCCCGTCGCTCCTGCAATTGGTGCACAATCGCTCCAATCGCAAAGTCTGACATCGGCCACTACATCAAATAGGTTTCCTGCATTGTAAGGGTACAATAATCGAGGAAGTAAAGAGAAAGCAGAACCTGAAAGTCACGGCAGGGGGCGTCCTGCGTAAAGGCCGAATGGCAACGTCTAGCAAGAGTAGACCTTGCGACTCGCAAGATTAACTTAATACCAGGAGGAAGACGAAGAAGGGGCGTGTGGTGCTAGCTCTAGGCGCTGTGAGGCCTCGGAGAGGGGGGCACCCTGTGACATTGTTTCTAATTCAGAAACGCATTTAACACATTGACGACAACGCGAGTTTTGGCTTTTTTGGCCACGTGGGACCGCGGCGATTTTGCGGGCGCGCTCGCCTCAGGTCGTTCAAGCAGATTTTGAGTGATAAATACACAACTAATGATCAATTCAAAACCAAATCAGTAAATTGTAATGAGCACAACCTACCCAGGGGTACAGTAGTGGAATTTCGATCGAAAGACATGGAATAACAATGAAAAAGCGAAATTTTTCAGAACTAGCTGCAATGGACCTCAAAAGCAATTTTACGTTGATTATTCCAATCAAAACACACATATTGTCATCCCTAAGGTTCCGTATCTACTTCTACTACTATTTAAATCTTCACATTCATAAAAAGAAAAAGTAAACGAAAAATTTATTGAAATGAAGATTTCGTATGGTTCAGAAATCCTCCTCTAAATTAAAGCATACGTGACCATTCTAAGGGCCACTATGTTTGTAGCTACGTCAAGGTCTCTTCCATGGAATGAATACAAGAAACTTCTAAAAGAATCAGGCGTGCGCGAAAAAAAATGAGTGTAATGGGTGCGGGGGATATATATCCCGCACGGTCCGACATGGCCTGCAATGCGCGGGATATATATCCCCCGCGTTGTCGTCAATGTGTTAAGATCAAGCCTTATATTAGAGCAGAAGAAATTCCAAGATGCATGAGCAAATCTCATTCTACTCGGAATTCCGGGTGTGGTTCACTAGGACAAAAAAGCGACTTTTTCGCGTTTCGCAGCGCGAAACATTTTTCGCTGCGGGAACCTCAGGTCCACCGCTGATCATCAGTGGACCGAGGTTCCCGCAGCGAAAAATGTTTCGCGCTGCGAAACGCGAAACGGTCACTTTCTGTCCTAGTGAACCACATTCCGGAATCCCTCTCCGTTAGAACGAGTCCTGAATCGGACTGCCACCCTCTCCCACAGGAAGTACACTGCGCCTAGCTCTATCTAAGCTAAAGCAGGTGGCACGATGACTTATGTGTTGAAAAAGAGAGATGTGTCTATTGTCGAAAAATCTGCACTACAAAGGAGAAAAACCTGGGCTGAGGATGAAGGGTGAGCAGATAACGCACTTAACGCACTACACTGGGGCATTTGGTGCGACAGTTTAATATCGCCTGAAGTGATCCAATTTTTTGCCCGGGAATGAAGCTTTATCACATCAAGTATTCCCACCCCTCCTACCCACCAAATTGGAATTTCTAGGCGGTAGCAACTGTCGAAGCACTTGTACCCACCTTCACTGGATCACCCACGTAGAGTCGTCTATGCAAAGATAATAAAGAACTCGAAAAGATACACCCACATTATCATTGTCCACTAACACCTTATTTAAGATTTTGCTATGTTAAAGAGCAATACACGTGCACAACCTCTTGTTTTCATGAAAAGAAAATGGATCGCGTCTAAACTCCGCAAGGTTCTGCGCCCTGAATAATTCCCCCGCCTTTGGTGTTTTGAATCCGCGCGTAAGAGCTGCACCGGTCCCTGGATACAGTGTGATCAATGATCGGGTTAAGCAGGGATGGAATGATACATGAGTGAGGAAGAGCTGCCATTAGATGTCACTCGAGCATATATGGACCTAAACATAATATTCATAATTGTGCACTACAAATTCGGGTTTTTAAGAATTACATTGTCTTTGATAGGAAAGCATTTAGCTCGAGATGTTGCTAGCAATGTCGCGGAATATTTTCATGGGGGCCAGTCATCTGGCAACACTGTAGCTCGCGAGTGCACCCCCTCCCCCTCTCCTGTGCTTTTAGCTTCTTACACGCTTGTCGCGACCGCAACAGTAAGATGAGTCCTCCGCCAGTGTATGACTCTTCAGTGTAGGGGGCTGACCACGCGGCGGCGCGGCGCTCTGCTCGCCTGGCATCTTTGCGTACTTCGGGAAATCCGTGAGCCAGGGGGAGTGTAGGCAGTCTAGGGGGTGGGGGTGAGGGCAGTCACTTGACATGCGTGAAAAGCTGGAATGTTCGAGTTTACACTGTCTCGCTCGAGAGAGCGCCAGGCGAGCAGACTGCCGCGCCGCCGCGTGGCCCCCCCCCCCCAACCCCAAAAGAACCCCGAAAGTAGCCTTTCCTACAATGTTGCCAAATCATCTCTTCTAAGATTCATGACCAATCGACTTTTACCTGATGGAGGTGGCTGTGTCGTCGTGCTAAATTCATGCCGCTTGAAAAATTTAGCTGATATAGTGTACTTTCCCGAAAAAACGAATTCTATGTTTATGTCTCATGAAAAAAAAAAACAGCGCCAATAACCAAAATGCTAATTTTTCCACTTGGTAGCGCGGAGCAGTTCTCGTCCACAAATATTCTACCACAAGGATCAACGTCGGCCAGAAAGTTATGCCTAATCCGCGAAGAAAAATTGGGCATGCTTTGCTAGATACTCTGAACCACTTTATCTGTAGCGACGAAATGATGTATGGGATTCTTGATAGAGTTTTGAACAGAAAACTCCTTAAGGTAAGTTTCATGTGTATTCTTGCTTTGGTAACACATGTGTAACACTAGTGAAAGCGTCGCAAATGTCGCTGAGTTATAATCTCCTACGTTCACACTACCTTTTCAACCACTGCGCTCCTTATTTGCTTCGAAAACAGCCAGTTTCTGGCGCTGTCGCCAGATCAGGGGCATTGAGGTGAAAATGCAGTTGAGAAATCATCATATCAAACATTCCCTTAGACTTAAAATAGAGACTTAGTCTCAAGAGTAGGAAAGACACCGGGGTGCGTGAGCAATTTTCCTTTCCCCTGGAATACTGCGCCTTCCTAAGCTTAGTCCTAGAGGACGCCTCCATATCTTTGCAATAAGATAGCTCCTTCTCAAGTTCTGTACCCTCTAACTAGAACAAAGCTTCTTCATCGGCAGTTGTCACTCTGTACAGTTGCTGCGATAGCATGCACTCTGTTGCATTCAGATCCGCGCGCTATCCAAGAAGCAGTACCCTGTGGAGTTTAGACGCGATCAGGAAAATGACGTCGAGAAAATGGAAATGATTTTTTTTACATCATCGACAGGTAAAGAGGCGGTATGGGTCGCTAGGACAGAGCGCGACTTTTCGATTTTCCAAGCGCGGACTCCTTTCCTTGCAGGAGCCCCGATGCAAGCTCTGTCAACCAAGGGGTGTGAGTGTAGATGGAAAAGCACATAATCATGAGTGACCTCAGGTCCCCGCTGCGAAAAACTGAAAAGTCGCATTCTGCACTAGCGAGCCACCCCGTAAAGAAGTCGAAGTTAGGTAACAAGGTTAGGGCTAATTTCTAAACAAACAAACCTTCACGACTACTTTTTGGCGATCCGGAGGCACGCCAGTCAGAGCAAATAGTTGAGATTTGAAAACGAGCGGTGGCTCATTAAAGTCGAGTAAAACCACATATTTCTCCTTACCCCATTTCACATTCACATTCGGCATTCTGGAATAAACAACACAAGTAAATAAATACAAAAATGCAGCGGAAGCCATGCCATGAGTCAAAGAAAGAATCATGAGAACATCTTATGTCCTTTGTTTACTTTTACAATTACATTACATTAAAAAAATTTTTAATAAGCTTGGCCGGTGTGCTTTAAGGGAATTGGAGAGGAGCAGACGCCGTGGATGACAAAAATGGAGGCCTTTATGTGCAATTGCACACCACTCCTCAAAACTCACGTGCAAAAGGTTGCAGTAGCGAGGGGAGGAAATACTACTAATTAGATTGAGTAGTATTTCTTCACATAGGTCTTCACTTTGAATTGGTCACGTTTGAATTGGAAACTCAGCGCAATGCGGCTCGAGAGGGAGAGAGCGAACGAGGAGGAGGGGAGGGGTGTGCAAAAGAGTCGACGATATCAGATTAAAGGTTCATGAGGCCTTTAACCCGATTGTGTAGCGGGTGTGTAGTCACAATGGGCTATATACACTTTATTATATACTATAACATAACAAGGGAGAAGGGGACAATAGGTGAGGAGGTAGCCGGGATCGGCGAGGCGAGGTCGGCCACGGACCGATGGGCTAGCTGTTTTCAAGACGCTGGAGGCGGCTTAAGTAGTGGCTGTCGCAGGTTGCGAAACCACTGATGACGAGGCTTAAGCTGCCGATGACGAGGCTCAAGAGATTGATGGCCTCCGGCACGATCCGGCACGATGACACGACATCTCCATTCCTTACAGTAAGCTCGTCCTCGAGCTTCAAGTATTCTTCCAATTTGTCTGAATGTCTTTGCGAGTATCTCTTGAAATAAAATAGAGAGTAGATACCGACTGAAATTCGATAAATGGCGAACGTGAAATGTGCTGGTGAGGTCAGTGTCTTACAATAATACAATGCTACGTCTTTCACTCACGACAGCGCAATCGTTCAATCATTCGGCAATGTTGGAAGCTATTGCAGTGGAAAAATAGTGTCCGCGACGATTATACAAAAATAGAATCCGTGCTGGCTGACAACGGAAGAGAGAAACGGTAGAGATACACTCCCTCTCTCGAAGAAAGAGCTCGTCCTCGAGCTCAGTACCATACCGGAGTGATGATGTACATAACATTCTGGTCACAGAAGTTGGCATAACGTTGTGATGGGGTGAGAAAAGGGTTCCATATAACATTAACAATATAATTTGACCCTATGCTACGAGTTAGTGTTACACATATATAGAAATTCTAGAGTTTCTTAGGCACTGAGAAAAAAAACAGCAAAAGGTTTAAAAGTTACGAGTTATACAACACGTTATTTTCACATGAGGTCAAATCTGTGTATATAGCTTTTTTAAACATCATTACAGTACTTGTACATATCTCTCAGAATAAATGCCATAGAGTTAGACAATATTGTAATACTAATGTATGACACACTATTGATTTCTTATAACAACACAAGTTAATTCTTCTGGATATATAACAATTGTTCCACGACAATTATAGAATGCGATACGAATACTAGTCTGTTGAACAGCACTCGATTTTCGACTAGTATAAGGGCGTACAGTTGAAGTCCTAGTGTTTTTATTTTGGACACAAGAACGCTGCCTTAGAATTCTTTGAACCGCCAATTCAAAGAATGTATGCGTAAAGATTTTCGCGACAGTGCGGCTTGAAGAAGGGAAACTAAACTGACCTAAGAGGGCTATTGTTTTGGTGAACAAAAGCTCCTCTACCTAGACGTACTGCTCCGCTTAAACTGATGGTTTGTCCTGAAACCTAACGACAGCATCGTATTAACGGTTGTTCCGTGTCTGTTGATGTTTCCGTTGTTGTGGATTGATGTGTATTTTAGGTGGAAACATTAACCGAAACGGAACGACGAAAACACATTTTGGACGGTTAGTAGCACGACTTGTCGCAGGAGCGACTCACAAGATTAGTAGTTGTTATATTGGGATGATTGACATCTCCAACAGAAGAGCATTTTCATTGGTTCGTTAGCTAAGGACGAAAAGTGTCGTCATTGCAAACGAGATCTTCAATGAATATGTCCTTAATGCATACCTTGTAGTAGAGGTCACGTCCTAGGCTTGCAGAATGCAGTTTATGTCAGCGATTCCATTTCCATCTTCCATTATTATGTTCTTCAAGCCGACGGCGGATCGATCGGCGGAATCATTCCTTGTGGAGATAAAGGAAAATCATGGAGGAAGCTGTTCCATTTAATGGGAACTTTACCATGATGAGCTTCCTCTTTCCGAAGGGAAGGTTATATTAAGTGGCTAGCAATTATCATGTCATCATTTCATGCAAAACAGCATGATTTCAACTCACGTAATGTATAAGGCTTTTCGCGACTCTCTGAAAGTAGCAGGGGCACCTTTCAACCCTTGAGTCATTATCGTGAACTGGTTCCGTCTAAGAAACGAGTAGCATCCTGTGCATTTATGTTCGTCAGAGTACTTCGAAGGAACCACGTTGAAATCGATTACCGGATAGATTCCTTCCTACTTACAATATCTAAATCTAGAATGTCATGTATGTTCGATAGGTAGAAAATTCGGGCCACTGAAATTGCATTAATTTGACGATAATCAGTTTTGAATTGTTGCCAATCTCTAGAAGGTTTTTTTCTGAACTCATGACAGTGGAAATGCAAATAATCTAAGCTCTCAATGTATGTTCTAGACACTCCCACTTAATCACTATATGAGAATCCTTTTATTAAAAAAACATTGGTTGTGATCGTAGCCTTGGTTTTTCGTCCCGATATTTTATGAAGTAAGCGCTTACTTGTTAGAGGGCCAAGTGTTCTCAATTGCTATCTGAAAAATCATATCTTCTACGATGTTCCTGTATTTGTTTAACATAGGTATAATATTTACTAACCTGGAGGGGTTGGTTAATGAGTACCGAAAGTTGTGTGTGGTATAGATTGATTTTTGACAAGTTAAAATTGCCTAGAGATGAAAGTTTTCTAGAAAGTCATTTGGCGACGGCGTTCTTGAATGTGAACACCGATTTCGAGAAGCGCTATAGTCCCTATATCTAGATTGAAAGTTGAGATTATGTGGACGTTCGTAGTTACCAAGATTAGTTACGGTAGGGTTGTTTATATTGGACTGGTTAGATGCAGTAGTGTCAGAGTTACTTTGGTGTTCTTCACAACAAACTGAACTCATTGGATAGGACATGTCGTCCAACACTTTGTCAATTTTTGCTATGAGTGCATCTCCCGTAATGTAACTGTGGTCTGTTGTGATTAGATTCCACATTCTTTCTGCCTCTTGCACCAGTTTGTCATACTGGGTGGGCAAGGGACCTAAAATTTGAGTTTCTGTTTTACTGGACCTGAGAGTGCATTAGTGAACACCAATGTTTGGAGAAATTTGCGTTCCTCTGTCATTATATTACTGGGATATGCTTCCAGGATTTCTTTGCGAACCCTGTTGGAAAGAACTACAGGGGATTCCCCTGTTTCCATGCGCATATTCATTAGTTTTTCCCTAGCCATATCTAGAAAGTGGTCAGTGGAAAAATATTGCTGCAATTTGGTAGTTGCTATTTGCCAATCGCGTTTCTCTGCGGCAGAAAAGTTTTCAAAAACTGCTTTCGCAGTCCCTTCCAAGTGGGCTGGAAGTAGGAGAACCAACTTACTTTCTGTCAGTCCCAAGATATTTCCCTATTTCATTGAATTTATCAAGAAAATGCATAAAACCTCTTGCTCCTCTTTCTCCTGAGAAAGTAGGAAGTTTGCTAGCATATGGTGCTAAGCAAAGCTTGTCGAATGCTGTATCTAAACGGGCAATTATATCTTCTTCCTGCATACCGAAATCTATGGCTCTGAAATGTGACTGCGGGATAATGTAAGTCAGGAGTGAACGTGCTATCGTTTAAGTCGAACGAGAATACCGTAAGAGATTGTATCCTAGAGTTGAAATTGAACTTTAGCTTAACTTGTTTGTGCAGTTAGAGAGTTAAACTGATTAGTTTTTTTGAGTTATATAACTTTAATTAAAAATACTGACTGTTACCAATTGCTTTCGATAGATGGAAGAGAAGGTATAGTATCGTTGAGTGAGAATGTCTCTTTGAAGAGTTGAAGCTGTTAGGAAGAAAGAGAGTTTGATCGAGAACCGAGAGCTCCCGGGGTGGGCTGATGATGTTGAGTGGTCACTGCCACCCGGTTGGCACTTTAAGTACTGGCCAGATTTTGGTGTAATACTCCCCCGGATACGTATTTCAGTCACGCCTCTTAACTCAGTGGCGTACTGTAGCTCCACACTTTAGGATATGGAAAGAAGAAAAAATCGAAGTTATTAAAATCAAGATTTTATTTCAGACCTTCAGAACGATAAAAGGTTGTATGATGTAAAAAGTACAACCTGTTACAGGCAACCTGGTAATAGGGCTTGGTGCACGTGCATTGTTTTCGTTTCCTATAGATCACATGAGTTATGGGTTGAGTCTTATTCCTTATAGGAAGTTGAAATATTTGTTGCGATATCATACTTCAAGTTGCGATATGTGTAGTCGACTCGACTTGAGGTAGATTGTTTCTTCGGAGGAAGGGATACGTAACTAACAGCTCGGAGGAGCTGGTTCAGATTAATTGCTCTGGTATCTCGCGAAGCACCATGACTGGATGGCGGTGGATCAGCGAGTTACACTTCCAATGATCAATGATCACTATTGGATGATGAAACATCCCAGATCAGGGATCGCTATTGGATGAGGAAGCATTCAAAATTAATGATCTCTCCTGCACGATGAAACATCGAAAGTTGGCTCCGAGACGAGCAATACACTGCGTCCCATAATTATAACTCCACCTAAGAATTTCCCAAAATCTCACAAATTGAGATGTATAAGAAAAAGTCTGCAAGTGTAGCATTGTAGTAAATACAAATACGAAATTACTATAAACATCAACTTCCAACTTGAGATCCCAGGAATTTTTTCTAATAATTTTTGTTAAAAGGCCACTTAGCCGACGTCCCAAAATTATAACTCCACCTCATGTTTTTCTATTATTTTTCACTTCCGTTTCGCCAAACTTTTTTATTGTGCTAACATCTACTTCTCAAGGGGACAGTATGATAGAAAATGCTGTCTGACTTTTTAAAAGGTCAGCTCGTCGCAAAAACTGTTGAACAACGCTTTCTCGCCAAATTTGGACCAAATTCACGCCAAGCTCAAGAATTTCTTCAGAGGTCTTACACGATATGGAGCTTACGAGAGCTCTAAAGGTCTCTCATTGATTTTCGATAGAAACAAAGGCCTCCTCACAGAAAAACATTCGTTTTTAGTAAGCCGTGCTCTGCCATCGAATCTTCTTTGAAACTTAATGTCTCAACGGAACATTGTTTCTTGCTTGCGAATGAATCCTAAGTTGATGCTTGAGTGGAAAACGTGGACGGCATCATTTTCGGAAAGAAACCTTGGCGAAAATTGAGCCGATATAGCATAAAAATATGCAAGAAAAGCCGACTGGAATAAGGTTCGTTTTTGCTTGATATGTTGTAGCGTTCGTTTTATTTTTCTTTTCGTGTCTTTCTTATCCTTAGCAGCTTTTCTCTTCCCGAACACTACCAGGAGAAAGGAAATGGCGAAGAGAAAGACGGACAAACGATAATGCATCGCAAGTAAAAGCGAACCTTACTCCAGTCAGCTCCGACGCACCTTCATGGAAAACTCAGCCCGATTTTCGCAATGGTTTCTTGCCACAGATGATGCCTTCTAACGTTTTCCACTCAAGAATCGACTTGGGATTCGTTCGCAAGCAAGAAACAATGTTCCGTTGAGACATTAAGTTTCAAAGAAGATTCGATGTCAGAGCACGGCTTACTAAAAAGAATGTTTCCTCTGTGAAGAGGCCTTTGTTTCTATCGAAAATCAATGAGAGACCTTTAGAGCTCTCGTAAGCTCCATATCGTGTAAGACCTCTGAAGAAATTCTTGAGCTTGGCGTGAATTTGGTCCAAATCTGGCGAGAAAGCGTTGTTCAACAGTTTTTGCGACGAGCTGACCTTTTTTAAAAAGTCAGACAGCATTTTCTATCATACTGTCCCCTTGAGAAGTAAGGATATTAGCACAATAAAAAAGTTTGGCGAAACGGAAGTGAGAAATAATAGAAAAACATGAGGTGGAGTTATAATTTTGGGACGTCGGCTAAGTGGCCTTTCTAACAAAAATTATTAGAAAAAATTTCTGGGGTCTCAAGTTGGAAGTTGATGTTTATAGGTAATTTCGTATTTGTATTTACTACAATGCTACATTGCAGACTTTTTCTTATACATCTCAATTTGTGAGATTTTGGGAAATTCTTAGGTGGAGTTATAATTATGGGACGCAGTGTATATCTCTGAGAGAGAAGTGATTTCGGATAGCTCCCGAGAAACTAGAGTGATTGATGGTGTCTATTTGGACACCGTAGCTAGCGGTGACGAAATAGCGATGAGTGAGATTAGCTACATCTCGATATATGAACCGGTTAGAATAAGTTTTACCTCTCTTGTTGGTGACAGGTGCTAGCAATTAAGGGTCGACCCAGTGGCGATCGGGTCCTTTCATGTAGTGCGGCAATGCGGTATAGATTACATTGATTTGGTGGCCCCATGTTTCTTAATTTGATTGGTCTTGTCCTATTTGGACGTAATTATTGGATGACATTAAGTTAATATATTTTGCATAATAGAATTTGTGAGTACTAATATTACCGAATGTTCCCTGTTGTAAATAGTTTGTTTTTAGTCTAGCTAGACATTTCATGATCATAATTGCATTAATTTGACCCCTTCTGAGCTGATAAGATTATCATAATATACGAAATTGGTTATGATTGCGAGTAGCGGGACCATCTATCTAGTTAACTTACTGAGGTGGGGTTTGACCTTTTCTACTGACGTCAGGTCTCACGGTAATGATCGCGTTAATACCCGTGAACGCAGCATACTGGCAGCAGGACGCTATGCCCGTGCGGTCTGCTAAATTTATTCCAACCTTGCGTGGAAACATAGAATTTACCCATTGGTAATCTGCTTCGGTTTTCACCAAGGAGTTGGGATTTGTCAAGCGAAGTGTTCTAGGTTCACTTATATATTACATATGTATGAATGGCGGTAGTACCAAAACAATGGTGTGTTGTGATGATACTATGACTTTTGTTATGTGGGTTGCCGTGAAAGGGAGGAACTCGTCGCCAGGACCGTTTAATACTTAATAAATAATGCTAATTGCCATTTGCAATTGAACTTCATTATTTAACACTAGTGTTTTGTGAAAAGAAAAGGGGAAGGCAAGCTCAGATTGAGCCTAGGATTGAGCTCAGGACTGGATTAGTCTGAGGATCATTAGACTAAGTGCTCTTCCCTTGAGAAAAAAATGATTCACCTGTATATCCTTGTGTCCGTTGTTGATGTTTCCGAGGTTTCCTTGCAGAGTGGATTGAGTTGCGCATGGCTCATCCAGACGAAGAAATACGAAGGTGATAAGAAGTTGGTGGAGTGGGGATAGAAGGATGGAAATTC